GTCCCTCTCCCCCGATCACAGACGAAATCCCCACGCCACATCCCACAACCAGAAAAATCTACGAGTTCTTCGAAATCCACGTACAACTGAGCGTTTTTAGATGGATCCACCACCTTCTGGGGATTTTGTCTGTTCTTGGCACGACCATAACGCTAGTTCTGACTGTAACGACCCTGGTGTGGAACATAGAGACTCCAAGATTCGCGACCGATCTTTGCAATTGCACGCTTACTGGCACCTGAAATTGTTTAAATGTAACGTATATGTATCTGTAAAGTCGGTATAACCGCCTCTCGGCGTAACACACCAGCTTCTGTATCTGTATAGCCAGTATAACCACCCTTCGGCGTAACACACCAGCTTCTGTATCTGTATAGCCAGTATAACCGCCCTTCGGCGTAACACACCAGCTTCTGTATCAGTATAGCCGGTATAACCGCCCTTCGGCGTAACACACACCAGCTTCGCAGGCACGCGGCGCGGCGGCATCAGCTATATATACCACACCGAACGACTTGTTACACTTAATCTTTGCACATTTAATTGCAGGAGTTTTTTTAAAGCTTTCTAGTGATGATGCCCCAGCTGTGTATGTAAAATACACATTGCTCTTACTGACGGCTATTCCAAGATCAGGGTGTTGCACTTGGGCCAATTTTTCAAGTTCCACATTTTTCCACGTTCAATTTCTATGTACATAGACCTCCACAATCAAATGTATTGCTTATTAACTTACACGTGAACACCACTATTGTTACAGTAGCAAACACCGGGTCTTTCCCTGGCAATGTATTTTTGAAATTGTAAGAAACAGTAAACACTACAACTTGATTAGTTGTACGGCTTTGCTTCATTGCAACGTGCAGACAGAATCAATTCATTTCTATGTAGATGAAGCAGCCCACGAGTCATCTTCTGAAACCAGACAATTCACGTCAGCGCTAAGATTAAAAGTACGTACATGCGCTTTGTCCAAACTGGGGTTGTAGCTGACATGTTGGTGCTACTTGAAGATGTTTCGCCAATTCACCACATACTGATATGCTACATGTTTCTTGGCTAATATGATATCATAAATGTTCAGTTTTGTCTTACTGGTGGAAATATAGGGTTGTCTAAACAGTTTCTTATTGAACATTGCCTTGTTGAGTATAGTTATAGTATTAAGGCAACTGTCGTGTTTTAAGTACAGGGTTGATCATTTGTTCCTGGTACCATAAAAGATAAAGCTACTTATTCTGTACAATATGTGCAGTTCTTCTGTGTCGTTCAAGAAAGGTAAAACGAAATCTACATGGTACATGCTCAACAATGTTCTACTACAGATTGTTAAAAAGAAAATCCTCAAAATTACTAGGTAAATACTCTGTACAATATGTACAGTTCTTATGCTTCGTTCAAGAAAGGTAAAATAAAATCTACATGGTACAATGTTCTACTACTGATTGTTAAAAAAAGGAAAATCCTCAAAATTAGGTACAATACTCTGTACAATATGCACAGTTCTTATGCTTCGTTCAAGAAAGGTAAAATAAAATCTCATGTAGATTTTATTTTACCTTTCTTACAAACTCAACAATGTTCTGCTACAGATTGTTAAAAAAGGAAAATACTCAAAATTAGACACAAAGAAAGTTAAAAAAAAAGAAAATAGTTCAGAAAACTTTTGTCCCTCCTGTCTAGTTTTAATTCTTTTCTAGTCGGGCGTTGCTTAGAGAATTATATCAAGCAAACACCATGCGGCGCGGAAAGATAGTCACAGTGTCAGTACCAGTCACTACCATCTGTCCGTCTGGCCCCATAGCGATGGCAAGGCTCTTCCATTCCACGATGGTGCGGACAAATCCCCCGGCTTGTGAACATGTCTACCCGATTGTGACCACTGTTTACCACGATGATACGACCTGAGGTGTCCACACAAACACCTACAGGGAAACGCAGTCGGCCCTTAGCTCCTCCAATCGTTCCGAATTCACAAATCTTAACTCCGGAGGGGCTGTACTTCTTGACGCTTTTATGCCCATCTGTAAGTAGAATATTTCCCTTCTTATCCAACGCGATTCCCCCAATGCCTGTCCTTTGAGCTTTATAATCAGTGAGCCCTTTGAAACACAGATGAAACAGCCTTATTGTATCTCCCTCCCCCACGATGACTTGATTGTTGCGCGTGTCCATCGCAATGACGGGCTTTCGAATTCGGTCACGACTCAGAGTCGTGGACCATGGGTTGAACTTCTTCCTGGCCTGGCCTTCCGTACTGTACTGTACGACATGCATGTATCCGTGTATAGTGCCACTATCTCCACCCCCATGCCTAGTCGCAAAAATCCCCAGTACCCACAGGTAGCCAGGATCCACGTCAAAAGCAACACTAGAAGGGTGCATTTTTCTAGATTCACCCGGCACTCGCGTTAGGAACAGGCGGAGATAGGCCCCATTTATGCTGAAGACCTGGACTCGTTGGTTGCCAAAATCAGTCACAAATATCTCACTGTCAGCAGACACGGCAACTCCGGAGATACTAAGGAATTCTCTTCCCCTCCCACCAAACGTGATCTTTTCTGCAATAAGTTATAGGCATTGTATGTGCTACAGTCACATTAGAACATTCCGTAGCAATGTGAAATCCATAACACACGCACTGATATATTGTATACACTCACACGCACACACACACACACACACACACACACACACACACACACACACACACACACACACACACACACACACACACACACACACACACACACACACACACACACACACACACACACACACACACATACATGCACACACGCGCGCACACACACATGCACACACACACACACACACACACACATGCACACACACACACATACATGTACACACATGTACACACACACACACACACACACACAGATCAATAAAAGAACTCACCTTCCACTTGTGGGTGTTGGAGACTACCGGACCCATCAGCTTGCTTCCAACTTTGAGCAAGGTATTGGAAAAGATTGTGCATAATCAAGTCTGGCACTATGTTACTGTGAACAACATCATTACACCCCACCAACATGCCTATCGCCCAAATCATTCTACAACCTCTGCTCTACCTAGAATGTCGGATGATTGGCTTAATGCTTTTGACAGAGGCGAGTTGGTGGGTGCAGTGTTTGTTGACTTCAGCGCCGCATTTGATCTAGTCGACCACGATATTCTGTTAGCTAAGCTTAGATCATATGGCTTTTCATCCAATGCCATGTCTTGGATGAGGAGTTATCTCGAGGCCAGATCACAAGTTGTTTACATTAACGGTCACTTCTCTGAACACTCCGTACTTCAGTGTGGTGTCCCTCAGGGAAGCTGTTTAGGCCCACTCATCTTCACACTGTTTACGAATGACCTACCTTCGTCGGTGTTAAACAGCACACCTGAAATGTACGCTGACGATACATCTATTTACAAAGCTGGTAGGACTGTTAGTGACATCAATACTGGTTTGCAATCTGACCTTGTACGTTTATCTAGACTGGGTTTGCATGAATAAGTTAGTGTTGAATATTCTTAAAACTAAATGCATGCTTTTAGGAACCCCACGTAGGCTCGCTAGTTTGCCTGATAATTCACTAGATCTTGCAATCGGCACTGAGAGGGTACAGGAAGTGAGGGAGACAGTTTTGTTGGGGCTACACATGGATAGGTCTCTCACATGGAACTCACATGTTACTCACACTGCGTCAAGACAATCAAGAAACATTGCCCTATTGAGAAGGCATATGTGGGCGATGCCTTTTGCAGTTTGCAAGGTTGTGGTTTGTGCACTGGTTCTGTCAGTTGTGCGGTACTGCGCACCAGTCTTAGCCAACATGTCAGACTCCAACATGCGCAAACTGCAAGTAGTGTAGAATAGGGCATGTAGACTGTTACTGAAATGTACTCCTGATACTCCTACCAGGCAGATGCATCTAGATCTTGGTTGGCCGACTGTGAGAGAGATTCTTGAAAAGCACTTTGGTCATGTTCTTTAAGATCCTCACGAGTCACGAACCACAAAATATTTACAACTCCCTTTTGCCTGCTCATGCATCTCACAGTCATAATACCAGATCTTCCGCACATAACTTTAGATTACCAATACCTAAGTCCAATAGCAGAAAACGCTCATTCCTGTATCGTGCAGTCGTGCTCTGGAACGATCTACCATCTGACGTTAAGACACTGTGCGATGTTATCAGTTTTAAGAAAGCCGTTTCAAACAGTAGTAGTGTCACCTGATCCTTGACCCTTGCTCGCCACTTTTAAACTGTTAATATCTATGTGTATTTATTGTTGATGCGGTGTACATGTATGTATGTATGTATTTTAAATGTTGCTACTATGTTGTAATTATGTAATTTTAATTGTTTTGAGCCTTGGAAGATTAGCCCTTCGGGGCTAAAAGTTTTCGAAATAAATGAATAAATGAATGGATGAACGTGGAGACAGAACTAGTAGTGGTAGTACTAGCAGCAGCTGCAGTAGTAGTAGTAGTGGTAGTGGTAGTAGAAGTAGCAGTAGTAGGTCTAGTAGTAGTAGTAGTAGTAGTAGTAGAAGCAGCAGCAGCAGTAGTAGCAGTAGTAGTAGTAGTAGAAGCAGCAGTAGTAGTAGCAGCAGCAGTAGTAGTAGCAGCAGCAGTAGTAGCAGCAGCAGTAGTAGTAGTAGTAGTATCCGCAGTTGCTGGTGACTGTTGAGAGATGATTATATTGTCATTACCTTCGCCAAGGTTATATTTTCAGTTGCATTTGTCATTGTGTTTAATTGTCTATTTGTCAACAAGATAACTCAAGAACGGCTGGATGGATTGGTTTCATACTTGGTGCGTTGGTAGGGTGTAACGAAAACTAAAAAAAAAATGAGGAATAAAAACAACAACAAGACTGGCAATAAAAACATACATTGCCATGGCGACGGTGGTTGCTGTTAGGGTTATTGTTTGCATGGCACTGCCAGCATTTCATGATTTTGAGGAAGACTTTACTAGGTCTAAACAGATACAGTGCACCCCTCCCCTGAGTGTATAGTGAACGAGTCCCGGGGTCACAGAAAGTAGGGCTATCTGGGGCAGACAGGTCTTCCCAAGGGTTTCCAGAAATATGGGCATAGATGAACATGTGGGTTAGAGACATGCATGTGGACATTCCATTCTTGTGGACAAAATGCCTGTACCATTCCTATATAATTCTTGCAAACTGCACACAATACTGCACCATTAGGCTCCTCCCTGACACGTCGCCAAAAACGAGACAAGGCGTACACGTACCTGCGGTGAGCTTGTGCTCAAGTAGAACAAGAGAATGACTCCGCCGACGATGCACGAGCCAAGGACGACAGCCGTTGCTAAGCAGACCAGGCGTGGTGTACGTCCTGAAATATTGCAGATTGCAGAAATTGAATTAAAAGTAAATATATGGTTTATTTGCAACATGTATGCCAGTGATATGCCAGAAATACAAAAAAAAATTACAACTCTCGAGATTTCCCCCATAAACTCCAGAGGCTGCTACAGAGACGAATAAACAAGTTTATGAAGTTCATGAAGTTATTTACATACCACATGTTGCAGGATGCCGGACGTTTGGCACGTACATCGGATTTGGATTGAGTGCATGCAGGACATCATTGGCGTCATTGATGTTTGAAGCCGCCGGTGGTTGATTCTGGGAGGACAGGCTTTCCTGAGTGTCTTCTGAAGCTGTGTTCCGCTCCACGTCACCCTGGCACGTGTCTGCGGCAGCGTACGTCGGATCCGGATCGAGTGCATGCAGGGCATCATTGCTCGATGGGCTGGTCGAGACATCATTAATGCTGTTTGAAGCCACCTTTGGTTGATTCTGATTCTGGGAGGACAGGCTTGTTTGAGCCTCCCTTGAAGTTTTGTCGCACTCGTGCATGTATGCGGCAGCGTACGGTTGAATATCCTCATCATCAGATGCGATACTGACTGTTTCTCTGCCACTGTCGTCATGTTTATGGTATCT